GTCGTCAATGAGAAGGCTAGCATGACCATCCACCAAACAGAAATCTCTTAAGCAATCAAGTACAACAAGGTCCAAACTACATTCGGAAGCTTCAAAATACCAAAATAATAGTGGAAAACCCCACAACTGAGATTAGAACTTAGACTGAGCACAGTCATGGAGGAAAATTATCATCATTCTCTAGCATAATTTATTAGTGAAATAGTAGAAATCATTGTTGTTATTATTCACAATTGTAGCTGAAATTCTCTTGGCGAATAGCATGATAACTTGACAAGGCAAGAAAATTTTGGGCTAAAAAAGTACACTAACAAAGTACAATATTTTAGAATATATCAGCGTGATAACTTCACAAAGAATTGTATTAATCTATATGAAGAAGAAATTTTGAAATCATTGATTTTAGGAAAGGGAAAGAGAAATTGAATGAATTGGGGAATATAGACTCAAAATAATAGGACATAAAATTGATATGATGTATTGTGTGATACTAGTATTAGACTCCAAATCCAAAACAATTACGGAAACAAGTAAAGAAAGTTAATGAAATCAGGAAATAATCATACAAGATCGCCTAAGGTACTCTAAAGACTGTTAAGTTGTGCCCTAAGGGGACGTGTTAAGGAAAACAAAAGTAGAATTTTTATATTGGAAAATACAACTTTTAAAACTTAAAAGATTTGAATGCATGCCTTTTGAGATGAAATATCTATATTGAGTTCTTTAACTTGTGCCCTAATTGCATGACATTTTGCAGATGCTAACTTAGAAGTCATAAAAAAATGAAAAGTGTAACTATTTTACAAAATTATCCTTACTAACCATTGTCATAAATGCATAGTAGATTGTGATGGACTTAAGAGTGATGCATATACTATTAATTTGAGAGTAGAATTGGAATATAATAATTAATTTTACATTAAAAATATAAAGTGACGCTTTTTTTGAATTTTTATATTTTCCTAATATGACACTAAACATTAAACGAAGGAGGTAATCAAAAGTCAACATAAAAGAAATTATCACAGGTTTAAAAGTTGGAAAATAATGTGCATGTGCATGTGCATGCTAGTAAAGATTAAAGATCAATAATTTTAGCTATACATACTTGAATGCGACTGTTGGTATAACACCAAAAGTTATCATCAAACACAATATAGCTGTGAATGTTGGGACATCTGAAATCCAGAAAGAAAATTTAAAAATCAAGCAGCAATTCATCAAGAACTTACACAATAATGAGAATAACTACGTACAAAATAGACCAATAATTGCTTTCAAGTTAAGCTAGACTATGTCCCTCAAAGGTTGTGTGGCCCAACTCATATTGGAAAAGCATAAGGAACACTAACATATGTTATCCAAAATACTTCACATTATTCTTACAAGGTTATGCAAAAAAGTTGTTTTTATAATTATTATTTTAACTTTTAATTACAAATATACTACCTTGCTCACTCTTTCCTTTTTTTCAAAGCTATGCATTGAAAACAATGAAAACAAAAAAAAACAGTTCCAATGCTTCCTAAACAAAACTTCAAAAACAGTAACTAGAGTGAGAAAAAAATTGTCTCCGTCTCCGCATACCAAAAAAACATTTTCGGGATAAGAAACTCGGGTACATGTATAATAATCATCGGAAATAGTATTAAAGAAAAGAGAAATGTAAGCCTTTGTACCAAATATAGAAAGAACACAACATAAAGATGGAGAATCTTACCAGCAAGAACCGGCAACCAATTCAAAAAAGGCAAAGACTTTCCAAATTGCTGAGCCCACCATTCAGCACCTGTAGAAAAATAATAAGTAACAATATGCATTGGATCTTAAGCATGTATAACATAATAACAAAAACTGAAAGAAAGGGTGTACCAACGAAAGCAGTGAAAAAGTGAGCAAAGTATATTATCATAAGACCCTCTGTAGGTCCATTTACAACAGGCAGTATAAGTGTATTGGTAAAATAGCTGCATCCAAAACAACATTTAAACAAAAATTAATATCGCTATAATGTCTTAAAATATACATATATTATGGTATTAGAGTTTAAGCATGCCAAATTGTCAGTGCAGTAGATGCATGCTAGAGAATCAGATACATTTCATTCAAATACGATGCTATAAACAAGACAAAAACAGATGATCGTTTTTCTTAGTTATTGTTACAACTCAGTTAGAACCATCCTTTATTTGATAGAAAGGATAGTTAAAAAAATTCCTATGCTCCGTGAAATAAGCAGACCCTATTTGGATACACATCTTAATCAAGCACTTATCGTATAAGCTATTTTTGTAATAAAAGATTAAATAAAGTCAAATTGTTTTCATATAAGCTATAAGCTGTTTTCATAAGCTACCTAAAACATGTCATATATAGTTCCCAAAAAAAACTCCCTCAAACAGTATCACAAGTGCTTATGTCACTAGATAAACTCAAATAAGTCAAATCCAAAAACAGCCATAATAAGACTTCCAAAATAAAAACTTAACTATTGTTATTGGAAATAGAATAATTGTACTAAACATTAATCGGACATGATAACTTACTGCTCCCAGGTTGCAAGATAAAATGTAATTGCAGATATTAACCACCACCAAAAAGTACTTCTTCCACACATGGATGTGCTCCCAAAAGCAAGTGCTTCAAACTGAAAAGTAGTTCTAATAGATGACTGTCTTGATTTGCTTTTAATGGTTTGAAAACAATAGCCAAAAAGCTAAAAGAGACATACTGTACAAGCAAGTGCATCACACCCTGCAATGTAGTTCAAAATATATTCATTATGACATACAGGTATACATGATGACAATTAATAGAATGTAAAACATGGTGAATGAAAATAACCATGATCAAACAGCTCCCCCAATGGACTTGAAGAATTTGTCCGTCTAGCTTGCTTCCCATCAACAGCGTCAAATGTCTACATATAAACAAACACACATATGTAAAGAAAACAATAATCAAAAGAATACTTAACAAAAATAGTGTGTTTTAGTCGTTCAAGGCATGTTTTAAATCCTTGGTGAGAATTAAAAATAGGTCCTGAAAAAGCTTCACATTGACTAAGATTAGTCAGAGTCCAATGTTATTTCCGGATAGTGGGAGTCTTGCAACAACAAAAAAAAAAGAAGGCTAAAGCACGCTATTTCTTTAACTGTATAGGAACTAAAAGTAAAAGAACAAATAAATAGGAACTAATTTCAAAAGACTTCTTTTTCAAGGATCAAAAAATATATTCAAACAATAAATTTAGCAGAATTGGTTACCATAAAGAGATTGGTACCATAATATGAAAATTTAACAAACCTGGTACAAAAACAAAAGTAGCCCATGTGCAAAATGAACCCATCTTGGAGGAGGTGAGTCCAAATGAGGTGAGTATATCTGAATAAATAAATAGATTTCAATATAATGGATCAAAGAATTCACCGTTTCAACAAAGTCATTCATACTGTATCAAAATTCCCTTCCACGGCCATGTACTGAACACTTCCACTAAAGAAAATCTCGATAAACCATGAACTTAACCAGCAATCTTAAAGATACTTATTTCATATACTTGTTTCAACAAATTGCAAATTTCATTTTATATCATATGAAAAAATGAAAATTAATGTCGGGCGTTGGAAAACTATCACTATTGTGATCCCTGCTTTGCAGACAATAATTAATGTCGGGCGTGAAAATTAATGTCGGGCGTTGAAAATTAATGGACTTAGATTCCACTCACATAGCCAAGCGTTGCAGACAATAATAAGAACATAAAGCCCATCAAAGTTATCTGGAACCAGACAATTTAAGAAACATCAGTCAAGGAAATATAGATTATGACCATAACAAGAGTAACAATTAAAGATGATATACTATAAAAATAAAGGAAGCAAATGGGTACCATGTTTGGACTGCAAAATACCAAAGAATGCGAAAACGCCCAATAATGAGGATTAAAAAAAAACAGAAAAAGGTATAAGTTAGTGAATTAAGAAATTAAAAATAAGATTGCCGAATAATTAAACTATAGTATCACAGAAGAGTAAATAATAGTATTCTCTCCACAAATGGATGTGTGTGATAAGAGACAAGAAATGCAAAACATCTATGCTATCATAAAAAAATTAAGTTATAGCAAAAAGAATAACAACTTAGTTTGAAAAAAAAAAAGTACTCACGGCATCCATAGGGGGAAAAAATGAACAAAGCGAGTCCAGAAGGGCTGTAGTATATATTTTGCCACATAGGAATGATCTACACCACTATACTTGTATCTATGCAGAGCTGCAACACCATGAGACCCAATATAACCCATTCTCTCAGCAAAACTATGTAATATGCTTCAAGTACAAGCTAAACCTTAGTAAAACCTGCGAAAATTTGAAGAAAAATAATAAATTGACCAGATAAATATACGAATTAGCAAGACAGACAGTAAAAAAGCTACAACCCAGATTGAATTCATAAGTTGCTTCCATAAGCTTTTCTCAAATAGGCTCTAAAACCTACTAATGCCTTGTGGGTGCCTTTCACCTTCAACTATTAGCATAAATCATTGTTTAAATGAGTTTGCATCAGAAATTTAAAAACTCAAAGGACGTGAAAAACGTTCCATTACCTGTATATAATCAAACAACCTGATTGCAGATAAGTTGTTGTTCTTAATCTTTGATCCAATACCAATTTTTAAAGTTGGATATGCAAGCTATTCAACTCTTGAAAAAACATTTCCACTCAAGTCACACTGAAATTCAATCAATCTCAGAGACAAATTCGAATAATTTCTCAAAGCCACTTGCACACGCGAAAGGCGCTAATACACTTAAAACACAATTTTTAAGCTTAAACCCCCAAAACAAAATATAAATCCACCACGAAACCCCATAAAAGCTCAACAATCATAGAAATGTTAAGTTACTTAAACTTCATTTAAGCTTTGATTTCTTAAACCAATATTTTATATAAAGTTCAGATAGCATTTGGGAGGTTATGGCAATTCCAATCTGCGTATGTCATACCAAATCAATCAATATCAATTCAACACACAAAAGTTAAGGTTTGTAAATCGATTTCTTAAAAACCACACATGCACGCAAGCACAAAATAAAGTTTACAGAGCAAGCAAGAATGCTTCCCCTCATCAATTAACTAATGATCAGTGTTGTCAAATAATGACTATAGAAACACTATAGCATGGCAGAATTTTATATTATCACCATTGTTCCATGATACATTTTTAAGTCAAATCAGAGTAGTCAATAGCGGCGCTATCTCGCTATAGCGGAGTGGAGCAGAGGCCAGTTGCTATGAGAAGAGCCTTAGCAGTGCGTGACAGTATGACATTATAGCAGATATCGGGGGCAGAGTGGTTTTTGTCCTGCTATTCTTTTCCCCTCTCAAAAACCGAAATTACCCCTTAAATTTAAAACAATTTAAGGGTAATTTTGGGTTTTTCAGTCAAATTCGAGTTGAGACTCAACCCTAACTATCCTTCCTTCTCCGAACTGACGTTGCTGCACTTCAGCCGTTCCAAGAAAAAATCACAAGTTCCTCAGTCACCTCTCTCACTTCATATGTTTATAATTATTATTCATGTAATTTATTCAAAAAATGATTAAATAGTGGTTATTCTGCAATACGCTACCCCGCTATCCGATTTTTAGGGTTGGCCGCTCCACCCATTATCCGTGATTGACTGCTCTGAGTAAAATAAGTTGTCAATTAGTGGCGCTGGCTATTGCACTGCGGCGTAACGAAATTTGAACAACCGGCATTTTTCCGTGATCCCCGATTGACACCACTACAAATAATAAATACGGTGCTTCTATCTATAAACATGCACTATGCACAAAAATATGTAACTGACAGTTGAAGCAAATACAATGTCGAAATTATATCCGAGATGGAATGTAACTTCATGTATCAGTGTCATCATCACTGTGACACGCAACACAAATAAATGAAATTCACAAATCATGCCAAAACTAATTGTACTATAACCACACAATCAAAACTAACACAAACCACACCAACTCTGAATACTATCATAGAAAAACTACACTAAAAAACAAAAAACAAAAAAAAAAATCAAAATCAAAATCGCACAGCACACTCAAAAAGGGAAAATCAAAACGAAAATGTTGCAGATAAAATGCAAACGGATCCAAAAAACACGGGAATACAAACAAAAAAGAACGGAAAAGGGATGAATCTTACTACCAAATCGTTTGTTGCAGCGTGAGGAGAAGGTTCATGGAAATGGAAGGATTTGAAGATAGCGAGCGAGAGAGGAATGCAAAGTTAATTCCAAACAGAAAGGGTGTTTGTTTGTTTCATAGCATAGCTTTTTCTAAACGCCGTTTTCTCCCATTGTTTTAGATTAGTTAAATTTAAGATAGTGATTAATTATTTTTTTATTTTATTTATTCATATACTAATTAAAATGAATTATCAATACATAAGAAAAGGTGTTAGATTTTTTTTAGTTAATTAATTCAGATTCACATATAATGAATTGATTAATCTGATTTCGTAGTTTAGAGAGATGATTTATTGGTCCGGTCTTATTTTCACTAAGAATCAAACTCGAATAATATTTGAGTGATTCATTTTTAATAGAAGTTTATTTGTCACTAAAACCAAATAAATTGTTAGATATAAATTATAATAATATACAAAACTATATTGATAAGAATAATTATCAAACATGAAACAAATTATCATTAATGAGATTTAATTATCATACACAAAATAAGTTAATATTATCTAAAATTATGTCCGTTCTGCCAATTTTATACTTTTGTTCCAAAAACACAACAAGTGGATACCTTCTGTGGTCTCTATTTCATATTTTCATATTCTCCTTTTGCTTCAAATGTTTATCCTGATATTTCATTGCATTTTGTTCCATCCAATCATCAATATCGGCGGTTACCAAAACAGTCAATCTCTCACCATTTCAAAATCGTCTCTCACATCTGCCTCTCTTATTCTCTCATCTCATCGCCCTCTTTCTCTTCTTCCTCATTCAAGCAGTTACCAAAGACAGTTCCTAAGAACCTTTGTATTTCAGTTTCTGCAATTGTTTCGCCCTCCATTATCCCTCTTATTGGTATATTCGTATCACACCAAAACAATAATGGTGTACAAATTGATTAACGGCTTGCGAATAAGTTGGATTGTGATTTTAGAGTTTCATCTATTTTTCCTGAATTTGTGCTGATTTAGTGTTTGTTATTTCAGGTTGGGTGAAAAATACAGAATCGCGGAAGAGGGAAGATGCACGGTAGATTGAATCGATTTCATCTCTTTAGTGGTCGGCAAAAGTGTGAGTAACATCTCTTTGTGCTATTTATTTGTTATACAGTTGTGGGATTTGTTCAAAGTACATTTTGAGATGGTGGTTTACGGTTTTGTTCAAAATTTTGTTTCGGAGTACAAACCCTAAACGTATATAGATTCTGGCTATGTCTCGACTGGTACACCGTTATACAAGTCATTTGTACAGATATTGTAATTTTCCTGGGTTGACAAATCGTTGTAGTCTCAAATATTCAGTTATATTTGTGTAGGATCTTGTGGTTCGTACCTCCGTGTAGGATTCTGGATATGTTTGAACTTTGGGTTATTGTGGGTTATTTTTCTTTATTGAACCAGATATTTATTATTTATGGCAGATACAACGCAATATCGACAAACTCCGCGCAAAGTTATAATGATATTTTAAGTATGTGCTCGTCTCATTTTATGCAATTTTGTACTTCATTGTATGGTTGATAGTAAAAACTTTGTAACATCATCTCATTTTCAATGTCATAGATTTCCGACAATAAACCCATTATTGCGGTTGGAAAACGCTTGAGGAAATGTGATTGTTCTTCAAGAAGTGAGATTATTGTCTGAGAGTATATTTTGTGTTTCATTTATCAAATGTTTTGCCCACTTTCATGTTTTATTTTACCGATTTAAGGCATTTTTGAGCTTGCCCTCCATGTGTTTGATGAAAAGCAGGAATGACACAGTGGTTGTCGTTGTTGCGTTTCATGGTCTGAGGATTGAAAGGCCTCTGATGCACATTAAAATTTGATCTTTATCTATACTATTTTATTGTGTTAAACAGAGCTGGTACAGTAAATACTTGTGTAAATGATTTTTGTTTGCGATTATGTTCTTTGCCATACTATCTTAGGCTCTATTTATTTTGTGAAAATACTTAATTTCAGTATTTAAGATTTGTGTTGATTGTACTCACTAAAAGTTAGATACTATGCTTTTGAACTGAATTTCTTTTGAAGTAAATGCCTGTTAACTAAATAGCGGCGGGATGAAACTCCTTGTATACTAAGTATTAGCTTTGATTATACTGTTTTGGTGATTATTGCATGCAAGAATTTTAGGTTTGATTATACACAGTTAAATGACAGTTCTGCTAAGTAAACTCCCAGTTCTGCTATTTTGGCATTGTTGCGTTAATTCATTACACTAAGGATAATACTTTGATGGCAGGATGATTTTACGGCATTGATGCATTTGATGACCATGGTAAAGGTTGCTTTCTTATTAGTTATTGAACTACGGGTTTGGTTTGTTATTTATTGCAGTTTATGGGAGTTTACTTTACATGAAAACTTATGGAACCATATCTTTGTATATTAATTTTCAGATTTACAAAGTCCCATCAACAGATTCATCCAGTGCATTGGTTGTATTAGTATAAATACATTTTGTTCTCAGGTCACATCCATTACTATATCAATGACGATAATAACAAAGACGGTATCACCGTCGGTTACACCTCCGTTGACGATGTTGTTCCGAGTAACTTCGGCATGAAGTGCAACCGCGAGCATAAACAAGGTTCAATCATTTATATCCGATCAGTTAACTTTTTTCTGTTAGAAATTTAATCCAATAATATTCGATGTTGATTAAGTTGGTTGAAATTAAAACGTGGTTAATGTTATTGATTTGTGTGTGAATTTTCGAATGGATGGAGGAAGAGCATAAGTTATTCTTGGTTGGATTGCAGAAAGTAGGGAAAGGTGGTTGGAGAGGAATCTAAAGCCTAATGATATGGCTTCTGTTGCAGTTGCTACTGCAACTTCTTTAGTAGCCTCTCATTGCCTTGAGATTGCAGAATATATGGGAGCTGAACATGAACAGATTACAACCGTAGTTGACTCGGCTATTAATGCGAAAACGAATGGAGATATTATGACTCTTACAGCTGGAGCAGCAACGAGTATTATATTTTTAAGTCAATCTATGAATCTTGAATTCTAACATAAAATCTATGAATCTTGAATTCTAACATAAAACAAGAGATATGTATTGAAATACAAAATAGCCTTGCGTGGAGCTGCAACTCTAAAAGCGCGTCTAAAGAAGGGGATTGGAGCTATTACGATTCCCCCGATTGAGGATAAGTGTGGCGAAGCCAAAAAAGCAAGCATCTTGACAGCACTGGATTTTGTCTTTCAAGGAGTTGTATTTCTCAAACGTACAAGAAAATGTATGTTTGAAAAAAATGTTTTTTTTTTGTAATTGAAGAATAAATTCTAATGCAAGTAAATGTTATTTTAAATTTTCAATATTATTTCAAATTATTTTAAATGTTATTTTCAATGTCATTTCAATATTATTTCAATATTATTTTAAATGTTATTTTAAGCAAGTTTCTTTCAATATTATTTAAAATTTTCAGGTAATTGCTTGAAGAACAAATATCTATATTCATTAACAAATCACGTTTTTAGGTAGCTGACAAAGTAAATAAGAGTATGTTGACATAATACGGATCCTTCTATCCATAGGTGCACTTTTGGTTATTATCTTCTATGTAATAAGGCCGACAATAATATGGTATTTGGGCTAGTTAAATGAAAATTCGATCGAAGAAATTTGCGTTGTCTGTATCATTAAGTGTGTTTCTTCATTTCATTTTGCAGTGAGTTCATTGAACAACATTGTTTTGTTATTTTATGGTTTAATGCTTTCAATATGTGAATATACCTTATTTTTAGTGTTGAAAATGGTATTCGTGTCGTGAAGCTTTATGCACCATGGTGCCGCTTCTGTCAGGTAAAATCAATTTTATATGACAGAGCGATTAAAAAAAATCATGAGATTGTCCAAATTTTTGCAGGCCATTGTAACTGGGGACTTGTACAAGCGATCACAATAGTATAAAATCAGTTTCCAGCAGTACAATAGTCAGATTCAGTCAAATATGAAAACAGTTAATGAGGCAAATAAACAAATGGAAACAGAGAAATTAAGTATTGTTGAGAACCTTAGTAGTGTAAGAGGCCACAATGGTTTTTAGTTCTCTATGGTTTTCTTTATTATTGATACAGTCTTCACACTCCTAATAATGAATGGTAACTCCTTTTTTTCTACTGTTCTATAGATGGGTATTTCTTTTCATTTATTCCTTAGAAATTCTGTCATAATCAATTTTTAATCTCGTGATAATAAATGTTGTGATTAGTATAAAAAAATTATAATAATGTTTTGATCTTGTGAACCGTTGTTTTTCTTGTCTGATACAGGTAGTGTAGGTTCTCTCGGTTGGTGGGACTTATTTATTAACTTCAGGTACGTTTCTATCATAAGCACTGAAATGTGCTCTATGATAATTAGCTTTGTGTTTATTAGATTGCTGACTTGAATATATGATTTTTATATATTATTCATGCAGTAATGTAGAGTGCTTTGCGTTTCTTGTATGTGCAAATTGAAAGTATATGTTGTACTCCAAAATTTTCCCTCCATTTTCTTCAAGACATTTCTCACAAAAGATCTTAAATGCTCAAGGATTCTCAAAGAGTTGATCAGACAAGCTCACCTCCAAAGCACTGAGACCACAAATTAGGGTTTTGGCTTTCACAAGGAAAATTAGACTTCTAATGCCTTAAATTACTTTCATGGTTCATCATAGACCTCCAAGAATTCTCATGCCAAGTTTCAAGTCTTGCATCTCAAAATTGCTCAGTCAATTGCTCAGATGACTGAAAATCAACTGTATTGGGTAAAAAGTAAATTATGGTCAACATACAGTCAAACCTTAAGATTTTTGGTCAACATCAATATTTTGAAGTCATATTCATCATTTGATCAAGGGTTGATCATAATTCCTCAAGGAAAACACTCAAATCATTAAAGGGGAAAAATTGTCAAAGTTAGGGTTTTGACTGAGAATGACTGATCATTGACTTTTGACCTAGTACATGACCTAATGCCTTAAAGCATGATCTCAAGGATTCAAATACAACATCTTGAACTAATTACATGGCTCAAAACATTTCCAAGGTGCAAGTGATTGATAGTTGAAGAATTCAGATCAATTGATGAAAAGTCAACTGCCACACAAAAGTCAAACTTTGACTTTTTGATCAACATTGAACTTCAAAATCAAGAATCAGCAAACCATTCAAAACTATCAAGCTTTATCATCAATAATCAACAAAGTCAACAAAAGTCAAAGATCGAAAATTTTCTAACACTTAGAAAATTCTCTAAGTGTTAAGGTTTTATTCTTAATAAATCCACAACTTCATGACCAATTTTCACCAAGATGCAAGATAATTCAAGGAAAACTTTCAACATGAAAGTTGTAGAGCATGATGAATTCTACAACTTTATATTAGATGGTTGATGTCCAAAAAATGCTTTGATTAGGAGATATAGGCCCATGAAGTTGTGACATTTTTATCCAACACTTAGAAAAAATTTCAATTAGTTTTGGTCGGCTTTTCATCCAAACTTCTTGACCAATTTTCACCAATTTCCTTGTTGATTTAGTCAAAGTGGTCAAAATGAAAGTTGTAGACAATGTTTCAAGCTTTTCAAAATGTCCAAGAACATAAAAAGATCATGCTTGAGAGAGGAGATTCGAAGACATGAAGTTGGCATTTCATTCTTGAATTATAGGCCATTTTTGTGACAAGTTCATGATTAAATCTCATAACCTTACCATGCAATCTCACTTTTCAGGCTATGTTGCTTTTAAATCTCCATATAATCAGAGATTTACACGAAATTGTGGTGCATTACACAAGGATTTGAAGCTTTATCCACTTGATCATACCATTTTTGGATGAAATTGCAAAGAGCTTCATATGCATTTGCATAAAGATCACTTTAATCACAAAGTCCACTCCATGAGCCTCTAACTTGTTTGTTCAGATCACACTTAACATGAATGCTCAGAAGCAACATGTTTAAAGTATCTAACCACCTTATGCGCTATTGTATCACACATTGAAACTTTAATTTCTCAAGAAATCACAAGTTATGTTTCAACCAAACCATAACTTCAAACTTACAAATCTGGTCAGCTCATTCCCTTAAAAATTTCTCTATAAATAGAGGTCATTTTTGCAAGCTACAACATGAATATACAAGCTCTCTAACCCCCTCAATCTCACTCAAGTCAGAATTGGCCAAAAACCTCCATTTTTGAGCTTTTGAAACCTTAACTTTGAAACTCATCACCCTTACAACTTTTGTCCAAACCAACCATCCAAACACTTCATATATATCATATAGAAGTTATTCATACCCCTGTTTCCTCACTGTAACATCATTTTCGTCATCCACCATTTTCAAAATTATTCATTGCAACTTGACTTTAGTAGACCAATCTAGACACTCTCAAGGTAAAGTAAGAGTTGCAACATACTCACCAAGGTCCAAGGAAGCTAAAGCAAGCACCACATTACTTCTGGAAGTCGTGTAGAGGACATTGAATTTTTGCATCAAGAGGTAAGTTTTTCCAACTTTGAAATTTTTATACAAGCATCATTTGCACCTACTTTTAAAATATAAAATGTAGATATCATGTTTATGAAGCTAACCATATCCTTAAATTTCATTTTAATTGACTGTGAGATGAGAATTTTGAAATTGGATTTTTTGGACATTTAGGTTTTCGTTTGGTGCCAATAGAAAATTCATGAAAATCTTCGAGTTACAGCTTCATTAAATTATACCATTAGATTTCTTGCAAAATTCTAAGCAAGTTTCATTTTTACATTTTCGAATTTGGATGAGAAATGAGAAAGTTATTTATTTATTTTTTTACATTTTGTTATAGTTACAGTAACGATGAATGCAAGGAAGAACAAGAAGATAAAAATCCAATTTTTTTGAAAAGAGTTTATTTTAGATTTAATAGAACATGTTTCATAATCGAATGAAACAACCACCCCAGTGGTAAAACAAGTGTGCGTCAATTATAGGGATTTGGATTCGAGCCCCATTGGTACCTTTTTGGCTATTTTCTCTATTTTCGAACTTCATTTTCTTATTTATTTTTCATCATTTTCAATCAATTCTTTTGCATTCAAATTTAATTTGTTCAAGTTAATTTTTTTCACACTATTAGTTTACCACCTTTATTTTATGAATATTAAAAAATATCACAAAAATACTTTTTATTTCTTTATTTTTCAATTAAATCAAAATGCACCTTTTTAGGGTTTTTAAGAACACTTTTTGAAGATCTTTTGATTAAATTTTCAACTTTGCTCACAATGCTTGATTTTACCATGATAGACCTTGATTCTCACAAGGTATCTAGACACTTGAGTAAACATTTCATGATAGCTTGAGTTTTCTTCTTAGAAACTTTTCTCAACCAAATTCATACTAAATCATGAAACATGTACAAAAATTAAAACTATGCTCCATGACTTTCTTCTTGATTGTGATGCATACACTTGTTTCGAACATCCAAAAATATTTTATAAATACTTAGAATTTCTTTAGTGTTTCAAATATCTTTCCCTTTTCACCACCTTCGCACATTTTACTTTCGCATTAATATTTTCTGATTATTGTAATTATTAAAAGGTTTGTAATAGATTTAATTAGGGTTTATTGCTTTTCTCTCCATTCATAAAATTTGTGCCCCCATTCCTGAAGCATTGTAATAGCGTAGGATATTTAATTTCCACACTTTACTATTTTGTAATTTCCCTAAAGCCTTGTAATAGCATAGGACATTTAATTTCCATAATTTACCGCTTTCCTTATTATTATTAGTTTAATAGGATTGTATGGCAAGATCTTAAAATAAATACTAGACAACCTAATCCAAGATAAATACTTGAATCACAATACACTTGGCACACTGACAACTCTAGGGTAATCTCACTTGTTGCCTCAGATAAAAACAGTCATGTCCCTCGAACGTGGGATGTTTTAGCAAAGACCCTCGATTAAAAGATCGTAGTCCCTCGATGACCCTTTGATGTTGCCTTCGATAAACGATCTTAGCCCCTTATGATAATTGCTAAAACATATTACAAGTTTCCTTCTATGACTGTACGATGACCCACGTCTGTCCCTCACATCCAATAATATGGCTCCCTACCAACCAATGGTAAAGTAGCACTATCTAAAGGAGGAGGAAAAGAATAAAGACTTTTTGAGTAGGTAAATTGCTCGTAATTGCTTGCTCACAAAACCATTTTCACACCTCATACTTTCAAAAACAAACATATTTTCAAATACTCTCTTTTCAAACAAATATTTTCAAAACAAACACTTTGTATGCATTCTCAACGATACGAGAATCATTACAAAGTTTGTCGTACTAAGGCGTTTTCAAAAATATTTCCAAAAACAAACATTTTGTATACATTCTCAATGATACGAGAATCATTATAAAATCATCACTTTAAAAACATCTTCAAAACATCTTTCAACTTACACAAAACACAAAGCATTTCAAAGTGAGCTAGCAATTAAGAGCCCGTAGATAACTACTGATGAAAAGGGTGCTAACACCTTCCCTTTTCATAACATACCCCCTAAACTCAAAAAAAATCTCAAAAGGTCTTTCATGTTCTTTTCACCCTTTCCTTTATTGGATAAAAGAAAAGTTGATGGAGACTCTTACTATCTGTAACATTTGCGATAAAATGAAAAACACCCAAGTCAGTTCTTCCACCGTATCACAGAACTGGCGACTCTGCTGGGGAAGAGAATAAATAGCTAAAAGTGGGGTTACCTTAAGAGCTATATCACCTTTATTGCTTTATTTGCCATCCTTGTTTGATTTACATTTTTGGGTCTACGCTTGGGTTTATTTATTAAAAAGATCTTATACCTGAATCTGGGGCATATTAGGTAAGTAGCAATAGATCATGGAGACTCTACGGCATAGACCGATATGGTTGAAGTGATGGTTACGTTAGTGTGACACATTTGTTGGTACCGGTATCCCTTGTGTTGAATCAAGGAGAATACGGGGTCGTTGTATGGTGTCATGAAGCACTAACTAATCATAGAACCTTAGTTGAAAAACTTGGCCATTAGAAAGTAGTGAGATAGTTGGCTTTGGTTCATACTGAAGTTGGTTGATACTCGATACTACACTCATTGAGATTGGACTTTCAGGATATTTTGATTGCAGTTTGATGCTTGTGCTGAAACAATGCCCGATGAAGAAAGATTAATGATATTGAGATTTCTTAGAACCCGATTACTTCTTTTAAGACAGGTTAAACCAACTAAAACTTCAAGAGGGTACTTACCTATAAACCTGATGCAAGCCTAAACCTAAGGCTTTGTGTGTATTGTTTGTGTATGATTATTTGTTCATAACATCATAACATCATGACATCATTACACATATCATTTTTGTTAACCATTTCAAGGATCTCAAGGGCCTGTGATGCAAGTTTATCATGAACCAGGCGCCTAGCAAGGGGCAGGAGGATTTATTTTCCTC